TTTCTCGCTGTTGCGCCCGAGGCGGCGCTTTGTGCGGCTCTGCCGCCCCCTAGTGGCGCGGGGTGGGGGGGAAGCGGCGCCTCTCTCGCTTCGGTTTTTGTCCCAGCGCCGCTAGGTTTCCTCTCTCGCTGTTGCGCCCGAGGCGGCGCTTTGTGCGGCTCTGCCGCCCCCTAGTGGCGCGGGGTGGGGGGGAAGCGGCGCCTCTCTCGCTTCGGTTTTTGTCCCAGCGCCGCTAGGTTTCCTCTCGCTGTGCGCCTCTGGCGCAGTAGTAGCGGGCGGTGTCCTCGGGCGTCAGGCGGGACATCTGGAGGGACAGGAGGCTGTTGGAGTTGTCCCTGGAGATGGTGAATCGGCCTTTCGCTCTATCATGGTACCGTACAGTAACCCCATTGTAGCTGATGTAAGCGACCCACTCCAGCCCCTGCCCGGGGGCCTGGCGGTACCAATACATCCAGTAATCTCTGAAAGTGAACCCGGTGGTTTTGCAGGAGAGGCGCAGAGAGTCTCCGGCCTTCCTCACGTCCCCTCCGGACTCCACCAGCTGCACTTGAGCCCGGACCCCTGCGGACACAGACGGGTTAGAAACGGGGGCACGAACCGAACCGAACGCGACATTCGCTCCGCGCTGCCACAGACTCGGGGGGAACCGAACCTGCCAGCGCCGCCGCCGTGACCGTGAGAAGGAGCCGGAGCCGCACCGCGAATGGCTGGTGCCCGCCTGACACAGGGCACTCGGAGGAGGGGGCGGTTCTCAGAGCCGGGGTAGGCCGGGAGGGATTGACACGGGACGCTGTCACCCTCATTTAAATATTTCGCCCTCTATAAGTAGTGGCTCATCTGTCATTGGCAACGGAACGACGGGGCTGGGGGCTCGGTCCGGCCCGGGTGTTTGTGCAGCGCCCAGCAATGGGTTCCCTTATTATGAAAACACTTGTCCGGAAGCGGAAAAGCTCCCGTTCCCTACCATGGCCTCAAGGGAAAGTGTTAGCGCGGGACTCGATCTTCAAATGTTAACTGGCAACAGGTTTAAAACCCACAAAAGGAAGATTTTCTTTAGGCAGTACACAGTCAATCTGTGGAACTCCTTGCCAGAGGATGGTGTGAAGACCAGAAATTTAACAACGTTAAAGAAAAGAGCTCGATAAGTTCATGAAGGATAGGTCTATCAAGGTAAACGCGGGTTTCAGTGTCTTGCCAGTAATTTTAACACGATTTCCTCGGCTAACTCCCCTGGTGTCCTTGAGAATCCCGCCACGGTCACTTTCCCTTGGGCAGCGCCCAGAGTAACTTTCCTGGGGAAAGGTTTTCTTTGGGTGGCTGCACATTCCGAAAGACTCGCTCTGACTTGGGGCTGGGATGAATAGAGGCAGCCCAGGGAGCCCAATTCCTACTCATCCCACCGGGTTTAGGTGCCTAAGTCAAATAGTCTCAACTCTCGGTGGCCTAGGATTGGCAGACACCGTCTCATGCTGCCGAAGGTGGGTGGGGAGGTTGCCGGCCCGCGGGATGTGTGTGAAGGGGGAGATTATACTGATATGGGGCCTCCTGGATGTGTCTGTGCCATCCCCCGCCTTCTAAGAGACTCAGACTCCTTTCCCCGGTGATGCCCCGAGAAGGGTCTGTCCCCAGCCCTTCCCTCCGCAGCCTCCTGCGCCCCCGCTGTATTTGCGCAGAGGAGACAGAGTGGAAATGGAAGTGGGGGAGAGAGAGCAAAGCCGCCCTCGGAGCCCTGCAGGCACACACGGGGCTCCCCGAGACCAGGCAGCTCCGCCCCCTCCGGAGAGGTGCCCTGCCCAGCCCCACACCGAGCCCGAAGGGTCTGTCCCCAGCCCTTCCCTCCGCAGCCTCCTGCGCCCCCGCTGTATTTGCGCAGAGGAGACAGAGTGGAAATGGAAGTGGGGGAGAGAGAGCAAAGCCGCCCTCGGAGCCCTGCAGGCACACACGGGGCTCCCCGAGACCAGGCAGCTCCGCCCCCTCCGGAGAGGTGCCCTGCCCAGCCCCACACCGAGCCCGAGCCGCCGCAGGGGAGGGGAAGCGAGAGAAACACAGCGCAGCTCCCCGCCCCGCGCCGGGCTC